TTATTTGCAACCTTTTTTTACTTTGAAAGTAAAACAATAAGTCATCCAACACATGTATGGAAAGAGAGAGTTAAAAGTAATTTATATCATTTTTAAGCTCAGCCAAAGATGCTCTAGTAAAAGCTAGATCAAGGATAGCATCAGCACAGCCCAACCTGCAATCGCCATTGATAGACACAACTGGGATCTTGAATTTTGATTACTATCCAAGAGTTGATAAACCTGTCCCATGCATCATAATAAGCTTCTAAATTTTTATTCACGGTCTCTAGCTGTAAAATTTAGTTTTAGAGTTAGCTTAATGGCTTTTGTTTGACTGAAATAGTAAACGGAAAATTTGCGGAAAGAAGTGACATTTGGACCTGCGGATCAACTGCTTTCACAGCTTCATTTGGAAGGGGTTTAAAACCAAGCATCCAACCCTCATACAGAACAACCTAATGACCAATGAAAGAACAATGACGATTGTAAAAACCTATATTTCAGTCCTGTCTAAATGGGAAATGATGAAGTAGAACAAAAACTAATAATTAAATTCACATTCAAACAGCTCTGGGCATCACAACTACTATAATTTTCCTCATTCAACCAAGATGGTTGGGGAGAAAAAAAATATAAGAAAAACTGATTCCAGCGAAAATAGAAAAATCAACCAACCGTTAGAGGCCCTTCAACTTCTGGCCATGTTGAAGGATCAGCTCTGTCTCCTCTACCATTGTATGCAGACTGCAAGTTGAAAATTAGAGACTTCGAATTCTGAACATGACCAAAATTAATAAGTCTGTCGTCATGTGGCTTACCTTATCATATCGAGGAAGCTTAATTTTCATACCTAGATGTAAATACACGTGCACCTCATTATGCCACTATAATATGTTTTGAAACAATGAGCATGGAAATAATAATGACCAATATGCACACCTTCTTTAGTCAACTTCCCCAGAGCTGTTAGAGTCTCAATAGACAGAGAAAGATCATGGCTTCCAGCATTACCACGGAACTGAGAGGTCAAAGAGTTATATCTTTGCTATCCTCGAAAAAAAAAAAAAAGGAAATAATCTAATCTCGCCAAAGGGTTAAAAATACCTCCAAAAGTGCATTCGCGGGATTGCTATCCCTCAGTTTGGCCTGAAATCAGTATTACATTACATCTCAGTGGGGAATTCATAGAGACGAGGTAAGACTTGGTTGCCCTCTGATTATTTACCTGATCTTCTGCTGTTAAATAAAAATCGTCGATGGATATTGTCGCTGAATTCCTGAGATTTAATATGTATCTTTTCTTAGTTTTTATAGTTTCACTTAAACAACTGATAAGACTTATTTTCAACAAATATCATCATTTGGTATTCTACCTCCCAGTCATTCGGAAGAGAAAATTTAATGCAAAGACAAGTGTTGTTTTTCCACAACCTTGTGGTGCACTGAAACCAATCTGCATCACAAATATATGAAAAAATAACCATGTCAACTTCAATTTCTATTGTATTTCTGGATCTTAAGACACTGTCCACCTATGCAACAGCCTCAGACCAGTCATCAGCTACTTCAGCAAAAATTAAATGAAGTAGAAGGACGTTTGGCTAAGCCGCTAATCTTAAAATAGTTATTAAGTGAAAAAGATAATTTGAAATAAATAATTTTTTTTTTAAGTAAGTTCTACCATGGCCAAACACGATAACAAGAAATAAATAAATTATTTGAACAATGTAAATGTACCACTAAAGGGGGTATATCATGTCCTTCTTGAAACATAGAATTATGACGAGAAATTTCTTGCTCGCACCACAAGAAGACAGGAATGTAGTAATGGTAGATTCGCACTTTCTGAGGCTCGGTTAAAAACAGTTCATTGAGCTGAAACAATCTACAAAGTTGAGATCCATATAATATCCACTTGTCAATAGACTCGGACACCTTCTCTGGGGTAAGTTTAGTTTTGCTTACAAGGGGACCTGCGCATATAAATTCAAAAAGGTCCTTCACGGAGGAAACTTGCGCAGGTGTTGTTGGAAAAACTGAATATAAGGGGCCTCGTGTCCTTCCATTGGTGACAACGTGATTGTAAAAGGCCGAATCATCTTGCATCCATGAACATCCACTGCCTGCATGACGATTTAATAGTGTTTGAGGAAAAAAATAAAAAGAAGTAATTCAATCAAAGCTTTTGGAAACTACAAGAAATTAAGGCCTCCAACCAGCACATCCCCATCAGTACGAAGATATATAGATTGTTTTTTTACTCAATTAAACACACACACACTCTGACACACACACACACCCTGTTGTAGATAATTTTTTTGCTTTTGAACTGGAATCATAAGACCAAAATATAGTTACCTATTTCTTGACAGTTTCATGAAAAATCAAAAACTAAAATGAACACAAATATTTATCGGTTCATTCTTCATAGCAGAATGTTCAAAATTACTAGATTGAAAAGAACCCAATCATTTAATATAAACATTTTGTAGCGGTTTATGTATGAATCTTGTGTATTGTTTTGCCAAACAGTGTAATTTTTTTCTGATTGGTTCTCTCATTGTGTACTTTGTACCTAAAACCCAATATTGGGGCTTCCACACAACACATTCAACGCTAGCAATTATAGAGTTCATATCTGACTCTTAAACCTCTATGACCTGAATTCTCAAGTCCTATAATTGTCCTGGAACTGGCTATGACTCGTCTCTGATTAATCATTTTAGAGGAGTTTTGATATTATTGCTTTTCTATCTAAACATAAACAACTTAATATGTCAGCTGATATGCTAGCTATTCATCTCAACAGTACTAAAAACGATATCAGACTTCTCTAACCTGCCTCAAATACATGTCTGGCTTTTGAACGGGGATTTTTAAAGGGTTTCTAATTTCTAGAGTTTAAAGTTCTCTTTTTCCAATTTCATAGAGAAAACCAAAAACAAATTATTTTTCTTAAATGCTTTATTCAAAGCAGTTGTTTTCAGTTTTCTCTTTTCAATGCAGGCACGAAGCTAGAGTTCAATCCAACTAAATAACAGAGCGAATTACAGCATAACACATAAGAAACATAAATTTCTGAACGGAATAACTAATTAAACAAATCTGAATACAGTCACATGTCAAATATAGGAGTTAAAATCCCCAATTTTTTTGTTTACAGTTAAATAAACCATTTCTTACTAATGAGTTATACTTTCTACAGAATCAAACCGGGAAAAAAAAGAAAAAAAAAATGAAATTTAGCCCACAAAATCAAGGAGGATAAGTAACAGTCAGAACTGCAACTCCAGACTAATTAAAACATAATATTGAATCTGAAAAAAATACAGAATAATCAAAATAAAAACAGCCAAAATTTAACCCCCAGCCCAGCCGAAAAAAGTTTCGTATATCACCTGATAAATGCTGACGCTGAGGAAACATTTGAGACGGCAGAAAAGAGAGCTTCGATTTAGCTGTTGCCAATGTTTTTCCACAGTTACATATAGAACTAGATACCGGAGCATATTTTTGACAAATTGCGTTAATATTAATATTATATTTACAGATAGAGAGTTGAGTAGAGGCTGTCGTCAGCTGCCATGGATTTAAGGGCTGTGATAATATATTCAAAGCCGCCATTGTCGATTACTCACTCTCTCTACGGAGCTTCCTCTCTCTAAAATTGCGGGAGAATCCAATTTATGTGGTAACTGTTAAATAGATTAGTTTGGGTTGGCTTAGGAAGAGCCGGACCTTAGCCACGTTGAAGATAGGGAAGATTTCAATGGAAGTCCCTCAGTTTACAAGCTTGTTTCATGTCGGTCCAAATTCAAATTTATCAACTAACTTTTCCAATGCTTCAATGTCTTACAAATAAAAAATTGCTACAAAAGCAAAATGAAAGTTTATGCAGGCCTTCATTCATACTCGAAAAGTAGGATTTGACCTCTTTAAGGGCGTGTTCGGTAGATATTGAAATCGGATTAAAATTGAAAAACTAGTCGTTATTGTTGACTTTTATTAGACAAGTGAAACCTAATAACGACTATATTTTCAATTTTAATTGAATTTTAAGTACGATCAAACACGCCCTAAATTTACCATTTGACTTGATAAATCGTCTCAAATACAAGTAGGGATAAAAAAATGTTCCGTTCCTTTAGTTGATATCCAACGCTTCAATGTATTACAAATAAAAAATTGCTACATAAGTGAAATGAAAGTTTATGCAAGCCTTCATTCATACTCGAAAAGTAGGATTTGGCCTCATTAAATTTTCCATTTGACTTGAAAAATTGTCTCAAATACAAATAGGGATGACAAAATGTTCTGTTCCTTTCATGATAGGAATTTCTCCAACCAGAACCCACCCCACCCCACCCCAACCCAACCCAACCCAACCTGCATCCCAGAAATCCCCGCTATGGATGAAAGATGGGAAGGACCACCTCAACTCGCACCATTGCTATCCCTGAACAAGAGCTTACCCTCTACCGATCAAGAAGGTCACAATGATACCAGCGAGGGCCACCATGTACTCCACATATCCGAAGTAGAGTTAGCTCAATGGAAGGACTCCTGAACTTTAGAGACAGGGCAACAGCTCAGTTTAGAAGCTCCTAATGCTTATACTTGTATTCTACTCATCCTTTAGAACCTATTTTTCTTTTGAAAGCAAAAATATTCATTATGAAGTGGCAACGAGACTTGAATTCATTGACTGCTTTAATATCATCTAAAAAATTAAAACATAGTGACCCTGATATGAAAATATCAATCATTGTTACATATCAAGAAGATAAATCTATCTAAATTAAAAGGGAATAAATGAATAAATAAATGTTCCATATCCGGCGAAGAGAGGGGCTTAAGTCGACGACAAGCCATCCGACCTCGGTTTAGATTATTTTTGTAAAGTAAACAATATCATATAAGGAGTAAGTTATAACAATATTTTTGGATAGTAAATCCCAATTCAAATCACCTAATGAGTTCTTCTAATATCTTTGCTTGTTCCTCCTGCATTGCAAGTGATGGAACAATATTATCACACATTTCGAGTAGTCGAGGTTTCAGACGACGCCTTCTCTGAGTCACCTCATGCAGGATTTTGCAAGACTGGGATTTTCACGGCTGCTCTTTCCATCTCCTTCTCGAGTTCCTCTTCTCGTCGCAATGTAGCAAACTGGCCGTCTAAAGACTTGGCCGCTGCTAACCATGCAAGAACAATTGCGAGGAGTATGCCTCCAAGAAAAGAAGTTGAATTCGTAAGTGACCCAAAGGTTATGATCATGAACCGTTGAATCAAAGCACCTCCAGACTGTTAAGGGATATATATTCCACA